CCAAGTGCCCTGGGTACAGGGCCCCCTCTTCGCAGGCCCTGCCCCCACCCTGCCCCTGCCCAATCCCTTCCCACCAAGCCAGACTCCTGCTTTGCCCCCACCATCCCCCAACCACCAGGCTCCCCCGCCCCCAGCTGAAGCCCTCTCCCCCGAGCAATACAAGCAGGGGAATTATGGGGGTGGGCTGGTGAGGGGCGGCAGCAGGGGTCGCCCCTCCCCACGCACAGCGGCAGCGCCTGCTCCGCTCTAGCTCTGCACCTACTTCCAGCTGTCTGCACCTCGCTTCTCCATGGCGGCAGGAAGCAGAGTGCCTGGGGTGGCCCGAACCCCCTTCCCCGCCCAGGTAATCCTCCAGGCCCCCCCCGGAACCTGCCCATAGGACGGTTGAGGTGGCCGCCGCAGGGCCCCCCAAAGCGCAGGATTTGGGGTGGCCGCCCCGAACTGTCGTATGGCCAGGGCGGCTCTGATCACCATGGCAGGATCTGAGCTCCCTCCCCAGGCCTCTGGCCTCGCCTGGGCGCCCCGTGTGACGTTCTCTCTCCCCTTTGCCCCCCGCAGGCTGGGCCCACGTCGTCTGTGCGCTGTACATCCCCGAGGTGCAGTTCGCCAACGTGCTGACCATGGAGCCGATAGTCCTGCAGTACGTCCCACACGACCGTTTCAGCAAGGTGAGGGGAGAGCTGCGGGCCGGACGTGAGGAGGGAAATTCAGGGGGCAGCGGGGAGATTAAACAACCGAATTTGTTCTGAAATGGAACGCGAGGCGTTTATGGACAGGGTCATGTGACAGCAGCCCCCCCACCTCCCACGCTTGGAGCATAGCTCTTTGTGGCCTGGCATGACCCCGGTGCTTAATTTGTGCCAGGCTCCCAGCCCCTTTTCTGTTACAAATGAAGCACTGTGTGGCCCGGCCGGCCTTTGGCTCTCTCTCCCGCTCGGCCTCATGCAGGGATTTGCTTGTAGACGTGGGGACTTTGACCAAGATTCCCGCCCACTGCCCCCCCCCCCCCCTGTTAACTCTTGCGCAGAGTGCAAACTGCTGAGCCCCTCAGCCCCGCCCTTCTTCTGGGAGCTAATTCGCACTGGTCTCCTCCTAAATCCAGGAGTCCTCCAGGCTCTGCCTGCGCTTGTGTGCGCCCAGCCAGGGAGACCTCTACCTCCTCCTATCTCCAGCTGCTTCTCTGCGGGGGAACCTCTTTTCTCTAGGCCTCCACAGGCCGAATCCGGCTCACCAAGCGGGTTGATCTGCCGCTCCCCCGTCCCCAGGCCAATGACGGCTCAGGGGTGGGGGAGTGCACAAAGCTTCCTTCCACCCTGGGAAAAGCACGCGGCGCTTTGAAGTGCTGGGTGCTCCTTGCAGGGTAGGGGTGGGGGAGAGGAGGCTTCGTGTGCTTCCCCTGCCCCCTGGCCAATCAGGAGCTGTTCTAAACAGCTGGCAGTTCACTCTAGGTATCATGAGCTCCTGGAGAGGGGAGGATACTTTGTGCACTCCTCTGTCCCCAGGTCTCAATTGACCTGAGGGTTGGGGAGCATCAGGCAAGCTGTGGGTCGGATCAAGATTCTTTTGCCCACCCGCAGTGTCGGTATTTTCTGAATTTCCGGCTGGGCGCCGGACGGAAGCCTGGCGGGGGCGGGGGAGCGACTGGGAGGTGGGGCCACGATTGGCACTGGGAGCCCTGTGGTCGCATGCAAAAGCCGGGTGGGGCAGGGTGGGGTGGGGGCCGGGACTCCCAGCCACTCCCCCCGCCCGGCTTTTGCACGTGACCAGAGGCTCCCAGCACCAATCATGGCCCCGCCTCCCAGCTGGGAGCCTCTGGCTGTGTGCAGAAGCCAGGCGGGGGGAGTGGGCCCCCAGCCACCCCCCCCCCCCGCCCTTTA